CTCTCAGGCTCCCCTCCCATCGTGTGCAGTACGATTTGTCGGAGGAAGAGCGCTGTACTCTGCATTTAGAGAGATTGAAAGGGAAGAGTTTCCAGTGAGCCCTGGAGTGAGGGTGCTTCTGGCCAAACCTGAATCTTTCTCTGTGTGGCCCTCTCTGGTTTGCCAGCTGCACCCCATACCTCCTTTCTCCAGGCTACCCTTTATGGTTTGGACATCTGCCCAGGCTGATGAACCTTATTCAGGTCCCACGTAAGGATACATGTCTGCTGTCATGCCCACGAGGAAGTGAGATAACAAACCAAACCAAAACTCCTTCCTCCCAGATTCCTGGTGTGACCTGTCTGATCTGTGCACTTTCTGGACTGTCAGCTCTTTGGGGCAGGAGCTGTCTGACCTTTGCCACGCTGGCATGGCTTACAGATAGCTACACCACTGGCCTGAGAGTCATCGTCCTCAGGGATGTGAGTCTTTGCAGTGGAGCTACCCTGGGGGAATGCAGCTCACTGCTCTTCCCTCGTGTTCTGAGCCATCTGCAGGAGCCACCCGCATTTAAATCTACTTCTGCCAGCAGCGAAGATGCCCAGGTCTGAATTTACCCAGACTAGCCACAGTATTTGCCTGGTATCACCTTGAAGCTCAGCTGAGTGGATTCCCCCCACCTGCCCCATCATATTCCTCAAGAAACTTCAGGAACCTCCTGGAAAGGCCAGGAGAGAGGTGGCCCTCGTCTCTCAGCTTGTTCATATTTATGTAGCTCTTGAGAGCCGAGAGACGGTATAATGCGTTTGTCTAGCAAGTGAAACACTAGTGCATCTGGGCCTCTGAAAGGGCTTCCCCGCATAAAGGAGTAATTTCTGCATCCCACGGGAGCCTGTTACACCTTCCTCAGGTCCCCTTATTCACTATGGATTCTTTATTCACTACAGATGATCATTTTATGCAGCACAAGCCAACGGAAGGAGCCGAGACGTGGATCAGATAGTGATCTGGGCAGATGGAGAGGCAGGGAGGCAGACAGAGAGAGATGATAAATGGATAGAAAGAGAGCGGTTTGCAAATCTCAGAGACGATGTACGTTAGTGTAATTGGATGGCCTGAGCAGATTTCTTTGCATACAGCATTTTTTAATCTGAGAGAGAGAGAAAATACGTCTCGTTGCTTTCATGACTTCCCTGGGGCAGCAGTGGCACATTAAGGGGAGGAGGAGAAAAAATCATCAGAGGCACCAGGTGGCTGAATATCTAGCAGCTTAATTGATTTCCCTTTAATGAGTACAAAGCCTGTTGCTCCTGACCAACATCCAGTGCCAGCCTCAGAGCAAGCCGTGTCCTCCAAGGGCTTTGGGGTAGCTCGGTGTGTGTCTAGGGGAGGCAGGGGTCAGCGCTGGCAGACGGAACAGTGCAGGATTAAGGACACTGTGGAAGTGGGTTTGTTGGGACACATGAGGAGAGGTAATTTTGCTGCCTAATGCTTGTTGTTATCCACCATTCTGTCTTTCTGGTCTGAGCTGAGCTGATCTGTTTTCTGGAAGAGGCTGACCCAGGTGTCCAGAGCAGATTTATTTTATCCCCCTCTCCAAAGGGACTCTCTCTCTTAGGCCTGGTCTGCACTATGAACTCACATTGGTATAGGCACGTCTCTCGGGGTGTGAGAGATATAACTACACCGACCTAACCCCGGGTGTAGACAGCACTAGGTCCATGGGACAGGCCCTCCCGTTAGGACAGGGAGTCTGCACTGAAGTGCCACAGCAGCGCTGCTGTCGTGTTTTAAGTGTAGACGTAGCCTTAGAAATGGTGACTCTGGGAATTGGGCAGATCCCAGGGGACTTGCATCGGAGTTGCTATTTTCTCTTCATGCTCCTCTCCCCATCCAGCCCTACTCTTCCCCCTCCATTCTCTGGAGCGTGGGTTCTCAACCTGGGAGCATGGCCAGCCCTCCAGTTTTTTTGCTCAGAGGGGTCCTGAAACTTCTTTCTGTTGTAGCTTGTGGTGGCAGGCTGGAGAAGGCAGAGAGCCCCTGCTCTGGAGCAGAGCACGAGGGGAGAAGCAGAGGTCTGAGCTCCCAAGAAGAGCGGCTCCGAAGGACACGTTGAAAGGAGCTTAGTGAATGACACAAAAATGTGATTTCTTTCAAATCCAAGGGCCGTGTCCGGCTCTGACAATGCTGATGTAAATCTGGAGAGAATCCGGCTGAATCACTCCATTTACTCCAGGGTAACTAATCCGCACAAGCCTGTTCATGTGCCTGTGGCTGGCCCTTGCTGTCTCCCGGGAATCAGTCGGCGTCGGGGGTGCCGATGCGTTATGGGACCAGGTTCATTGAAGTCAGGCGGTTACACTGCAGTCCATGGAGAGCTTTCTGCCTCCCCCCCCCCCTCCAGCAATAGCCAGTGATCTTCTATTTCTCTTCAGGAGCGGGAGGAGTGTCTCTGTTCTTGCTGGGTGCAGAGATGCGCCATGCACCCATTCCATCGCCGGCAAGGTGGGGGATCCAAAAATAACCGCATTAGTCACGGCAGTGCCTAAGAATCCCTGAGAGGCTGCGGCTGAGTCACTCGCTGGCGTAGCGAACGGGGCCTGCATGCCTGGGAGATACCGTACTCCCTCTGCACGTCTTTACGAAGCAGTTCCCAGGCACAGCAAGGTGCTGTGACACAGAGGTGCTCTGGCAGGTATATTACCCCTGTGTCCAACCTCTTCTTAATATTTCACCGAGGGGGTCATGTGGGGTTTCTGCCAACAGCTAAGAACTGGCTGATTGTCATGGTTATTGAGGGAGGTTTGTACGGGAAGCAGTTGCAGAGCTAGGTAATGTGCAGGATGTGGTGTTCCAAATCAGTTGGGTGTGAACCTGGCACCTGAGGTGGGGGAGCCTGAGAGCTGACCCGAGCTACATGAGAACCATGGACAGCCATCGACTGAGCTAGTTGGTGTTTGCCGTCTTGGCCAGATGCAGGCTTCGGCATTTGCAAAGACAAAAGAACTCCAATAAAAGTCTCTGAATGGGGAGCTCTGGGCCATGGGACAAGAGAAGAGGAAAGAGGAGGAATGACTCTGCAGCGGGGTTGTCTCATCAACGGCGAACCCCAGCTTTCTAGACTGGGCAAGCGCTGTTTAGAACTTATTTGGGTGAGAAATGCCGGATGAGACAGGAAAGTCACTGGTTACTAAGGCCAGGCTATAAACGGCGTCTGACGTGTTTCTTTTACCTGTGGCCTTACGGTCCCAGATCCTTAGGCTGGCTTGGGTTGGTCTCTCTCCCTCGAGCTGTTAAACCAACGTCAGGCTGGCTTTCCTCCACAGTTGCCAAAGTGCCTCGTGCTAAGGAGAGTGTCGAACTGGGGGGAAACCAGGGACCCGGGTGCCCTGCTTCTCTGGAGGCAGCGAGTTGGTGCCCATTAGGGCTCCCTCCTGCTGGGAGTAGGGTGTGGTAATTCTCCCCAAATGCCTCAGGTAACCCCCCAAAGTAACAGACAGACAGACACTCTCTCTCTGTACTGGAAAGGAGACCTTAGCACAAGAACAGCATCTCCGCCATAGCGAGACGGGTTAATACTTTATAT